TACGGGGGGGGGGGCGGTGGTTATAGGGTCTATAGTGTGTATTGGGGCTACACGATATAGGAACTACAGGATATAGGAGACAGGAGACTAGAGTCTATAGGGGCAAAACAGGCTATAGGGTATAGGAGACAGGGGGCTGTAAGGTCTATAGGGTCTATAGGGGCTACAGGCACTACAGGACATAGGGGGCTATAGGAGCTCTAGGGGGGCTATAGAGGCTATAGGAGACATGGGGCTATAGAGGTTGTAAGGAGCTATAGGGGGTACCAGGCATTATAGGGGCACACAGGGCTGTACAGGTTCCATAGGGGGCACCTATGGATTCCAGGACCATATAGGAGATCCTGGGGTGGGTAGAGACAACAGGGGCACATATAGGGCTATATAGTGGGGAGAAGGGGCATACAGAGGTCTATAAGTGCACATAGGAGCAGATGGGGCAGTGTATAGGAGCATATAGGGGCTCAGGAGGATCTATGGGGGCACATGGGGGTACATATAGAGGGGTTGCGCTGCTCTATAGGGGCACATGGGGGTATAAGAGATGGGGGCGTGGTTATAGGGGCACAAAGGGCCCCTATAGGAGCTTCATTCCCCTAGAGACCCTTATAGGTGCCTATGGGCTCCTATAGCCCATATAGGTCACTAGAGGGACCTAGAGGCTCCTATAGACCCCCCTGGGCCTCTAGAGGTGCCCATATAGGTCCCTATAGACTCCTATGGGCCCCTCTATAGGTCCCTATGGGCCCCTGCAGGTCCCTATGGGCCCCCCATAGGTCCCTATAGGCCCCCCATAGGTCCCTATAGACTCCTATAGATTCCTATTCTGCCTCTCCTCCCCCAATCCGGCCTTTCCCAGGTTGTGCAACCCGGACGCCTGGGCCCCTTGCGGGGGGGTCACCCGGATGCCGGGGCCCTGACGCAAGAATCCCCCCCTCCCCCCCCCAACCAGGGGCCCAGGCGTCCGGGCCCAGCTGCTGGATTGAATCATTCCAGGAGGGGGGAGATGGAAATTCCCCGGACGCCTGGGCCCCTCCTTGCTGGTGGGCGCCAAAAAATCCTCCTCATTCCTCCCATTTTGACCAATTTCCCTGTTAGCAGTGCTGATTTTTGTCCGTTTCCCCCACTATTCGCAGTTATTCCCTTATTATTCCCTATTAATCAGCATTATTAGGGGCTCTGTCCTGCTATTTCCCCCATGTTAGGGTTTATTCCTCTGTTATTAGGGGCTACTCCCCCCTTATGAATCGTTATTTGGGGTTATTTCTTCATTATTAGGGATTATTCCGGCATTATTCCCCATTCTCTTCATTTTTTTTCCCATTATTTCCCCTTATAAGACGTTAATCACTCATTATTGACCGTTTTCCCTCATTATTAGGGGCTATTACACCATTATTTAGGACTRTCTGCCACTTATTCCCTGCTACTAGGGTCTATCCCCCTCTTTCTCCCATTATTAATGCCTATTCCCTCATTATCCCACAATGGTCTTAATTATTAGCACTTATTAACTCATTATTCCCCATTATTTGCAGTTATTCCTCATTTACTTCCCATTTTTAGGGGTTCTTCCCTCATTATTCCTTCATTCCCTTTCTTACTAGGGCTTCTTCCCCCTTTACTCTCCATTATTAGGGGCAATTCCTGCTTTATTTCTCGTTATTAGGGTTTCCTCACTAATTATTCTCCATTTTTGGGGATTATTCCCCCATTATTTGGCATTATTCCCCCATCTTTAGGCATTTCCCCCCAATAATAGTGGTTATTACCTCTTAAATTCCCATTTAGAGCGATTATTCTCCTTTTATTCTCCATTATTAGGGGTTATTCCCTCATTTTTCCCCATTATT